TTCATTTTTTTCTACAGAAAAATTTGAAGGTAACCTGAAATCACAGTACTTCTGGAGACCCAAAAGAATGGAACTTAGTTTTGGGATTCACCATTATGCAGGAAAGGTAAGAACTCTTGAGAATTACAATTGAGTTTTTCAGCCTTTCCTTGAATAATAAGGGTAGACATGAAGATTATGGCAGAAAATATTTCTAGATAGTTATGATAAGCTGGTCCTCGGTTTCTGTCCCCATCCGGCCCTCGTTCTGTTCTTCCGAGTCCTGCAGGTCCTTTGCCAGATCTCACGATGGAAGCCAGTCTCACTTGGGGCATGCACTTCTAGCATCTATCCTGAAGAGGTTAAAAGTCCTTCTCTCAGTTGGGAGGTTATAGTTTTTGTAGAGGAATTTGTATTAAGAAACCAAGGTAAAACAAGAAAGAAAAGAAAGAGATGAGACTTAAAGAATCCGTTTTTCTGATCGTAAGATCTGCCTTTGGGTGACGTTAGCTAACAATGGTTACCTATTTTTTTTCTTCTTTTTACAATAGCTGGGGGACCTTTGGTATAAAGCAGACCTTAGATGCTTCTCTCTCTCCTGCAGCCTTTGTTCCTCCTCCTTCCCAACGAGAGAAGATGCCAGACTAGAGGTGTGGTCAGATAACTGAGCTACCCCAGATTGACAGAATTGGCTAGTGGACTGCTATGCAGTTGGAGGAAGAAATGTTTCTGTGTTGATAGAGACATGTTCCCACACCTCAGATATGTTGTCCTGCACCCAGAGGACACTTTCCTTCCTTCTGTGGAGAATAATGGCTCATTCCCTCACAATGGTATTATAAATATTGGGGGTCTAAGAAGATATCAAATCAAGAAAGGATTATAAAATGAGATCCATTTAAAAAATAACACACAGAACCTCAAGCATTCTAGTCCACTTGGCAACCTCCATATGTCCATCACTATTCCACAGACTTTTGTCATTAAAAAAGTATACCTTAAATCATTTCAGTTATAGCCTTTCTTGTGAGTTTTAGCATGTGATCTTCAGCATATGATTTTCTAAATAAAGCCTCCTTTAAAGGTCCAGGAAGAGTTGCCTGTGATCATTTTATCCAGTTGTCTTTAACAACTCTATTAGTCTGCTCTGGCTGCCATAACAAAAATACCACAGGCTGGGTGGCTTAAACAGCAGAAATGTATTTTCTTACAGTTCCAGAGACTGAAAGTCCGAGATCAAGGTGCCCCTAGCAGGGGTGGCACCTGGTGAGGCCTCTCTTTCTGACTTGCAGACAGCTGCCTTTTCAATGTGTCCTTTTCTCTGTGAATGGGTGGGGGGCAGGGGAGGAGAGATATCTCTGGTGTCTCTTTATCTTTTTATAAGGACACAGGCCCTACTCCTATATCTCATTTAACCTTAATTATCTCCTTAAAGGCCCTGTCTCCAAATATTAATCCCATCACAGGGGAGTTTGGGTCTTCAACATCTGTATTCTGGAAGGACACAATTCAATCCATACCAACCATTATATTGGATCATTCTGTGGAAATCTTTGGATTACACTGATCTTTTTGAAGATCTCATAATTATTTAGAAATGCCAGAAACACAAATGCCTGCAGTGTATTTAGACCACACTACAACTGAGATAAAAATCTAGCATGGCCCATTCAATGCAGAGGAATCAATGATCCTAGAAGCAGGAACGCCTTGGTGGTACAATGTGCTTCCTTGGTGCTGCCCCCATGTCTCCAAATAGAGAAAAGAAACGTAACAAATTCCCAACATAATAAATGGGAGGAGTCAAACCTCTTTGTTCATTTCAACCCAAATAAAATCAGTGAGACACACGTTTTTCTCTAAGATATACCATTAACCTGAAGAGATTCTCTTTTTCAGCCAAATTAGCAGCCACTACTTTTGTAAATCTTTGTTAGATCCTGTTGCTCAGCAGAGTGAGCTGTCAATAAGTATCTATTGCTGATGATAATGACAATGATTGTGATAGTTATGCTTGCATACTTTGTCAACAGGTCCTCTATAGTGCAAGTGGGTTCTTAGCAAAGAACAGAGACACTCTTCCGACCGATATCGTGCTACTTTTGAGGTCTTCCGAAAACAGTGTCATTCGACAACTAGTCAGCCACCCACTGACAAAAACAGGTAAGGCGATTTCCTTTAACTGA